GGGGGGGGGGGGTAACAAGGCCAAAGTTGAACACCTCCGGTCTTCCTCAGTCACTTTATTTTGAAGTAAAGAAGCATCTCGCGACAGCCATCAATCACTGCGTTACACATTAACATTATCGCTTCAACTACTGCATAATAATAATAAACCATTAAAATTACAAGTGTCTGGTCTATATTTGTCCACTGGTTCCATGGGGACTAAAACACCGTGGTACTGAGCCGATCTGACACATGTTCAAGCAGTCAAAGTGCAGAGAACGCAGCTTATCGGCAATTCGGTCAATTGAGCTTTGCTTAAGCGACTTAACATCTCGTTGCTTGTTTAAATCTGAAGATCGGGTGTTCTGAACCAAATGTATTGCAGCTTCTAGCCGGCCAATAGTTCCCAGGTGAAAGCTCATGACGAACCAAAGCTTCACTACACTAGATCTCTTCTCTTCACTTTATCACTGTCGTGGACTTTTGGCTTATTCATGGCTCAAGCTGATTTAGCCATGGTGTTGGGTACGAACTGTCCGACGATGTATGTACAGTTGCTCAATTCGAAGAATCGTCAGATCAAATATTTGAGGAGTTATACATATTCGCAGATACTGCAGTATCGTTCCAACAAGAAAAAACGAGTTCGAGCAGCCAGCCTCACATAACGCAACATGAATGGTTTTTTGATGGAGTGTAGAAAAAGATAACAAGATAAATTTAGTATAATGAAAGTGAATTTTAATACATGTCACTTAGAGACTCTTAGTTCCGTTCCGAATCAATTGCATTTGCTTATGTCTGCATAATTTTTCTCGGTGTAAAGTGCACAGTAACCCTGTTAGACATTAGCGTTTGTAGCCAATATCACGACCGTGCAGCGGGGTGCCGTAGCTATTTGCTTGAAGGAAGCTAAGCTAAGGTCACCGACCTTACGTTCTTTCCAAAAGCCAGAACTAGTGTAGCGAATCGCAATCCGCTACCTTTAAGTATTAAAGCCTTACCAAGACAAACGAACACTTCTGTTTAGGACTATGATCACTGTGTCTACGACACACAAAACACCCAGTCTTGCTGGTAGCGAGGCGGGAGTTGGAGGAAGTCGACTTCGAATCGAACTCTCCTCCGCAACATGGGATGACGATGATCATGAAGTGCGCTAACGGCGCGACGTGGGCCCAGCTCAAACCCTGCGGACACCATGTCCGTTCCCCGGCCTCTCGGTTTCCGGGCGAAGTAGTAGTATTACCAATCGCCTCGACGAGGCACAGGAACAGCAATGATAGGATGCTCATAGGGCGGCTCTCCTGCGCTCGTTCTTACGTTTGGTTTTAGTCCCTTGTGTGGTATACGGCTTTCGCTCGGCGGAGACGCGACCACTCAAATGTTTGGCGTCTACGTAGTCGGGCCTTCGGTCACTACGCAAGCTGAGCTTGATCAGTGGAAATCTCTACGAGTTCGCTTGGTTGTATCCCAAGAAATCTCGATGGATCGGTGCCGCGCTCGACTTCGAGCTCAAAAAGAGGGTGCTCCTATCTCCGCAATGCGGACCAATCCTGTGGTGCTCGCCCCTGGCAAAACCACTGCAGATAACGATAAGCTCACTGAGCGATGGGTGCATTGGCACCGGAAGCTTCCTTCGCTGTCTACCTTACAGCAAAGTGATGGGACAGCGTCACCGAAAACTTTCATCGCTGTCTAACTTACAGCAAAGCCACAAGGAAATGACCGTGCGCATTGAGAAGCATCTCAGATATAAGTTTGCCAAACTTAAGGCGCTACGCCGACGTCCTCCGTATTGTCTCCCTGCGACATATGTAACACTCCATAACGTTCCCGCAAGCTCTGTGGTTTCTCACACGGGTAATTCTACGACCACAGAAGCTCAGGGTTATAACTTGAGCTTAGCTAATGGTTATCCGGCTTCACGGGCTACTGCCGAAAAGCGAGGGGTGCACGACGGCACGAAGCGTCATGATCCTTCTGATCATAAGCTTCCACGACGTCTGGGCAGTCTTGCCAAAGTGGCACCTTAAACATCCACGAGTTCTTTTAGTTTGGGTATCCCCGCCATTTCACACTATATTGTGTTGAACTTCGTCGACGACGTCGACTCACAAAGTGTTCCACGTTGTAGTGAACGCCACCATTCTCATCGAAATATGATGGCAGCAGGCGATGATAACTTGGTCAATCGACGCCGGGTGACTCGCGATGCTCCTTTAGCGTAGAAAGACAAAGTCCGTCGTTATCGGCATGCTGCCGAGCACTCCGAGAACACTGCTCACATTTCGAAGCAGTCACGGCATGGTGGGCATCTTGGGTAAGGCCCTTCAGATGCGGGTGGAGTGGCATGCTATCCACTGGACGATTTCTTCGGCGGATGTTGTTGTTATCATCAAGGCTTCGGTAGAGCAGGAAGTGGGACTATTACCGGATGACGCCGAGTGCGAGTTCCCACCGGTCTCGCCGAGACGTACAGCCTCTGGGAGAGGCGACGTTGACGCTGTATGCTAGCTGCAAGGCGACGGTCGTCGACCCTGACCCAGGATGTGTCTGCCGTAGACGATAGCGCAAAGCTATACACCCTCGTTAATGGTATGACGGGGGAGGAAGGCGGCGGCGTCACCCTCGAGGCTATTCCTACGGTGGATGCTGTTCATGGGCTAGAGGAGATGTCCTTTGACGAGCTCGGCGGTGTCTTGAAGGTAGGTGACTTAACCGAAGTGGTCATTCCACGACTGGAAGGAGAGATCAATTCCTCGTCGCTTCTGAATTAAGCAGATCGGAGGTCACCATGAGGGTGATGAACGCACGAAGCGGATCTTCGAACCCCTCGGGTCCGTATTCTTCTTTGATTTTGGAATTTAGGATGTGTTATGCAAAGTCAGCCTACCTCCACACTGAGGTTTGCGTCATGAGACCGACCTGGTTCCAGGAACCAAATACTGCGTAATACGCCAGTTGCCCCTTCCCAAAGTGCCCTGTACGTCGCTGAAATCTTTTTCCGTGCGAAGCACAAGACAGGAATGGAGCGTGAGAGCAAGCCTCCCCAATCCACACCCACGTTTTGTGTCCGGAAGCCGAACGGCAAGTAGCATATCGATCACGCGTATAATAATCTTAACGCTGCCACCACTCCGGCACAAACGCCGATTCCTGAAAAATAAAGGGTGTTTTCCAGAGCGATATGGTCGGCTGTATAAAGTACAGCGCACTTGACTTGGTCGATAAATATTACCAATTGTTCATGAGAGCAAGTGATTTTTCGATGATAGCGGTATGTACTCCCTGCGGGATGCTCTAGTAGTGGCAACTCACAGAGCTCTACTTCTTCTCACGACCGAGATGACTACTGAGTAGGGTGTCATGGGGCTTAAAGAGGATACGGCATCTCAAATTCTCATCAGGAGGAACCACAACTCGTGGCGTATCTGATGAGTCGGTGCAATAATGGACAATCCATTATTCAATGAATGTCGGTGCAAACGTGTATGCAGTCGCGACGACAACTTCTTGTTCGAGTTCCCAAAGTCCTTGCCCCCGAGCGCCTGTAGCAGATCTACGCGCATATCGTCACCCGCGAACTCGGCGCGGATCAAACTCGTCATGGACGACGTCTCTGTCGCGACATGGGTAAGCTTATAGTCCGGTTTGCGTGACAACTCATCAGCCAAAGTATTCTGCTTTCCTGGCTAATACTACAACTCAAAGTTATATTTTTTATAGAATGAGAGCCAACTGGCCATCCTCTGCGAGAGTTGAGGCGTAGTGACGCATGATCAGTGTACATCTCGAACGGCTATGAGCCGAGCAGGTGAACTCTGAACTTGACATACTTCTTCGCAAGTGATTTATTTTCGAGGACTGGGTAGTTCTTCTATGCAGCTTTGAGCTGGCGAGATTCAAACGCGATCACCCGATCTAGCCCCTCGGGGTCTGCTTGCAGCAGTGCACAGCCACAGGCAAAGTCCGAAATGTCATAGAAGACACTGAGAGAAAGATCAGGATCTAACCACATTGGTATTGGTGCATGAAGGCTGCTGTCTTTGACCCCGTCAAAAGCCATCCGATGCTCGGTATTCCGCATCCTTCTCAAGGAGATTCGACAATGGCCGTGCCATTTCGGCGTGGTTCTCGCTGACCTTGTGCAAGTAGTTGGCGAGGCCATACCATTTTAATAGTTCTTTGAGACCGGCCAGTCCACGATTGCCTTGGCCTTAGCGGAATCCGCACGAAGGCCATTTTCCCTGACAAAGCACCCTAAAAGGGAATTTTTCGGCAATGATGCACTTTCTGCATTAGCATTCAGTTTGTTCGTGCGCATGCACTCGAGCACCGCTCTTAAACGAGCGATGTGGTTCTCTTCATCCGTCCTCCAGTGCTCTGCACTACTGTGGACGAAGAAATTTGTGTATACGCCCGGTGGGGCCTGTACAACTGCGTCACAAGACAACTAAATGTTGCTGGCGCGTTTGACAACCCTTGGGACATCACCGCGTTGTGAGCTGAGTAAACTCCACTCAATGTATTCTATACATCAATTTGATCGAGTGTCGATTAAAAAATGCTGGAAACTGAAAAAAATTGTGATTCGAAGACTCAAACGTGGGTTTCACAGGGCTTATACCAGCGTAACTTTTCGTGTTCTTGTGTGTTCTAACGGTGGTGCGATCATCTGGAAGCACATTGCTGAACAAACTTTCTACTGCGAAAAATAATTTATTTACTGACGACGAATTGATATGTACATTGATAAGGTAACAGCTTTTCATAAATCGTGTATACAAATTTATCGTCACTTGGATCATATCTTGAATTGTTGATAATAGGCAGACCCATGATTATCTATCTGCGAAAAGCACTCATAAAATTCTGGTCTATTGAAAATCGCTTTTAATTTACCTCCCAGTCCGTTCTGGATTAGAAATTGAAGAAAATGATCGTAGTCTGGTTCTCCACCGATCGTGCTAATCTTTATCCAGACGAACTGGACGTAGTCAAGCCACACCCAAAAATATGGAGATTCATAGTCGATTTTTTCCCCGACGTCAACGAGAATGCGAAAAGCATTTTCCGAACTGTTGTGATTATCCAGTTTTGAAAGACCAAAAATTTATACGTTGGTTTTACGACAATAAGTCGCTCTAAATCCTCGGCGACGGATTGCAAATCCGGCGTGGCTCGAAAAGTTTCTAACCCAATTATCACTCGGGACATCAGTGCTTCTGCATTCGGTGAGTTCATTGCTTCTTCCAAGAAGCAAGCAAAAAGCAGTTTTTCATTAATCGTGTCACGTTCTTGATAGAAGTTCTTGTCGTGTACAACTTGATTAAGCCATGATGCAGAGAGCTTTTTGACGCATGC